CGCGCAGTAGTGCGCGTCAGCCAAGCTTGTATACATATAATCCGCTATGTGTGTCTGTGTGTGTGTGTGTGTGTGTGTGTGTGTGTCACGAAATTCATAGCGCCTGCCCCAGTAGCAGTGAGACAATGATTTCAAGAAGTGATGTACGGGGTGTGACGGGAACACTATTGGTAGGTGACAGGAAGTTATATCAGTTGATAAGATTCGATAAGGGGCTGTAGAAGGAGAAGGTCACTATAATCATAACGCAAGTGACAGCATCAGTTTGCTCTCGATTTTAAGATATGATATAGGGGATTGGCCGAGAACATCATTAGTGGGTCACAAAAACAATAAGCTGCTAATACGATTCGATAAGGGGCGTTAGAAGGAATAGGTTACCATATTCACAGCGCAGGTCACAGCATCAGCCAGCTCTTGATTCCGAGATATGATATAGGGTGAGGGACAAGAACATTATTGGTCGGTAATAAGAATTGTAAGCTGCTGATGAGATTCGATAAGGGACGCTGGAATAGTAAGGTCATCGTATTCATAGCGCGGGTCACACGAGGCGTGCGTTCCAGCAAGTGATATAGGGAGTGTGTTGGGGACATCAACCGTGGGTGACTAGAAGCGATAACTACTGATAGGGGCTTATAATGGAGGTTGCAATCGTCGTCGCTATTCAAGGCGGTTCACGCTCCCAGATCATAGAGGTGGTTCACGCTCCCAAATCATAGAGATTTAGTGATGAGGACATTGATGACGGGTGACAGATAATCTTATCAATCGATAAAAATGGATACGATACCATCTGCGCTACATTTGTATTACCTCTCACCGCTTTACTGCCGAGTGTTCGAAGCTAAGATTGTGAATTTTTCCTTTGGCCAACACTTTCCTGATAACCCGGAAAGTGAACTCATCCCACTATCCTACTCTATATAATTCGCTAAGTATGTCTGTCCGTGTGTTTGTGTGTGTTTGTGTGTGCTTCTGCACGTATGTAGTACGCCTGAAACAGGAAAGTTAGGGAAGTTTCGAGAATTTTCTTTCGAACTTTCAATTACTGATGAGAATCCTTCTATTCTATAAACCATAACTTTGTGTTCGTTTGTATGTTTGCAATAGTATGTAGTATGTATGTATGTATGTCCGTCGTTATGCTTTACGGGTTCGAGTCCACTGGAGGCGAAAACGACCGCCAGGCAAACAAGCAACCGATCGGTGCGGAAGTACCGATCCAATGTTTTGGTTGTGATAACGGCTTCCGCTATA